GTGGATTGAGACCATTTTCTGGGTCTCCTGGAAGACAGTCAGATTTTAGAGTTTATATTTACGGGTTTCTGTTGGAAGACCATCAAAATGGAGGATGGATCAACAAAGATACTTTGGAATACTGTCAGAAAATATCTCTGGATCTGCTCCTGTTATTGACCATGTTACCTGTTGTGCATGATTAAAAATCAGTGTTGACTGACTGTGCTATTATAAGCATATATTATTGCATCAAAATTGACAAAATGACCTATTTTGCATCTTTTTTTTTCTGTTTTTTGTCTGTACATTTGACAGCTTTGCTGCCTTGTTATATAATCAACTAAGAAAATTGATGAGATGGGAAAAATATCAATAGAGCAGTGTTAAATGTCCAATTTCTTCCATTCTGAGATTCTGAACATAATGAATGATTGAATCTGACAAACTGCAATGATATGAGTTTATTTCCATTTTTGAAACTTTATTACACAATACATGATAACAACTTTACCATCATTTTTACAAAATCAACTAACAATGTTGTAAAGATGCAGGAAATGTCAAACAAACACTTTTACGTATCTTATTAATTAAATAATGAAACTGTTAACATGCCTAAGAATTGAATCTGAGGAAATGTGAAAAAACAGCATAACTTCTAAAATAATGGCCCGATTATGCCGATTTTTTAAAACTCAACCTGCTTTTAAGCAGGATTGACCACTCCTGTGAGTTTAATGACAATTGGCCTATCTGTTTTTCTTATATTGTGTTAACAGTGTTGCCTATAGGCTGAAAAGTGAAAAAAACCCTAACTACTAAAACAAGGCAGCAAAGCTGTCAAATGTACAGACAGAAAGCAGAAAACAATGCAAAAAAATAGGCTACTGTCAATTCTGATACAAAAGTACATTATGCTTACCTGCAAATTCAACATCAAAATTTAGGTATGCTCAACAGGTAATACCAATGTAAGTAAAATGTGAAACAAGCATAAGGCTTCAGGCCCATGAGAGTTCACACTTTGAAAGTGCCAGAATAAGAAAAATGAAAATTTTACACAAAATTGATTAAATTCAATAATAAATGATAACCCAATTGAGCTGGCTTTCTAATTTGAACTCCATGCCAATCCTACAAATAATACTTGTAAGTTAAAAATAATAATAATAAGTAACACAGTTTTCTTTTCATGTTTGTAGTAGCAGTACATTTTTGTCAATTTTGATGTAACATTACATAATCAATTACAGAATAATTATCACCAATTATTGACTATAAATAGCATGGACACGTAGAAAATTTGGTTACCATTCGGCTTTATGTCCATGGGAGCTCTGAGTCCCACAATGAATATGCCAACATGATAAAAATGAATATTTCACTAAAATGTGTAACTACAAGAAAAAGAAGCAAATCAGACTGCTTTTCCAACTCGGCTGCAATTTAGTCCTGTGTTTCTTTTTTGAAAGTTTGACAATCATAAGTAACATGGTTTACCCATAATGGTCATCATGGCAGCAGCACCCAAAATTGTGTTTTCTTCTATTTTGATGCAATATTATATAATGCTTAACAGCATAATGACCATCAATTTTTAATAATAAAATATACGTATCATGGATTTTCAGAAAATGTGACTAGCATGGGTCTTTAAGCCTGTGGTGGTTCTAAGTCACACCTTGAAAATGCCAATATGTGAAAAATTAAATTTTTTACAAAAAAATGTTTAACTGCCAGAATAATTTACCAAACAGTCTGCATTGCCTACTGAAGTTGATTTTAGTCCCATGTTTCTTTCCTGTAAGTTTGAGAACAGTAAGTGACATGGTTTTCCTTAAATGGCCATCATGGGAGCAGTACCCAAAATTGGGGTTTCTTCAAATTTTGATGCAACATTACATAATGTTTAACAGCATAATGACCATCAATTTTTAATAGTAAAATATTAGTACCATGGATATTCAGAAAATGTGACTAGCAAAGGTCTTCAGGACCATGGAACTTCAAAGTCACATCTTGAAAACGGCGACGGCGACGACAGACGCAGGTGATGGCAATATGTACAGACACATCTGTGTCTGTACATAAAAAGATCAAACTTTCAGATACATAATTTTATTATATTTCTGTATCTAGCATATATGGTGTGCTTACTGCATAGAATAGAACTATAGTGTAGCCTTGCAATTTTGTTGCTAACACTCAATAGGAATGTTGTAGTTTTAAAAAATTGCGACTAAAAATAATTCACAATTTTCCCCCATTGAAAAGATGGAGTAATTACTGTACTAAAAATGTTATCTGCTGGAAATTTCATTTATGCTTATGATAAAGTCTATCTTCGTTTGGTAAAGCAGCAGGTTGCTTTGAAAAATTTGCATGATTGGTTGACATTTATGGTAATTATTGTTTTTGTTTTTTTTTTTTTTTTTTTTTTGCACAATTTTGTTGATGTTGGCCCTATAAGTGCCAATACGTATTTTTTTATTTTAAATTTATTGAGTGGCTTTGTTTGGTAAAGCAGCATGTTGCTTTCGAAAATTGGCATGATCGCTTTACATTTACGGTAATTATGATGTTTTTTGGTTTTTTTTGCATAATTTTGGAGACGTTCCTTCTCAGGGTTGACATAACAAGCAAAAGTTGTTACTTCTCAAATCTGTTTTAATTCATGTCCTATTTTCAGTTAAATATTTACAGTAACATCTTCCCAAGTGTTGAGCATACTGTTGAATATATCAGAGATATGACGGGTATCATTAAGCATTAGATTTCAGGGTACAGATGCTATATACACATATTCAAATGAACATAACATTCAGTCTAACTCTTAACAGCATGCGATATGCGTGTATTTGCTTTTCACTTGAAACAAAATACAAAATGGTTCATAATCAGAATTTTGTAAGAAAAGTCTATGGACACACTCATTCTGAAGTGTGGTATTTATGAGAGGCATATTTAAAGGTATTTGATATAGTCTATATGTAAAATTGTTAATTTTCTGTCATAAAAAATTGTCATTCTCAGTGTATTAGTCCTTATCACTGGCACATTTGTTCACCCTGCAACTTCTGATTTGTAGTATTATTTTTCTTTGAATTTGATTTTTTTTTTTTTTTTTGCTGTTTGTCTTGGCATACAGCTGTTCTTAGAGTTGCATACTATTTCAGATGTGGTTAATAGACGAGAACAACCTGACTATATGTGCTGTTGTCACAGTTGGGATGCAGCTAGTCTTTTTCCTCATTGCGTACGGGTGTAGGTTTGACAAAGTAACAGACTTTGCTGGAGGAACAAACTTTGTTATCTTGGCGTTGCTGACATTTCTACTTGCACAGGTATGTTTATGTTCCAAAGAATTTTGATTTGTTGGACCTTTTGATATTTATCTGTACCACAGGTACTCAGAGATTGCATTATTCAAAATTTGACATTTGATTTTAATTAATTAATTAATTAATTAATTAATTAATTAATTAATTAATTAATTATTACTGTGATTTTTACTTTCATTCCTTATAATTGAATGTGAAATGTCTAGTCTAGGTACTGAAGAGATGGGACTCATGGATTATGCCATAATGCATTGAAATACTGCATTGCAAACTCTAGTGGTACTAAACAGTTGTAAGAAATACAAGTTTATGATAATTTTACATGATTTTGGAAATTTTGTCATTTCTCAAACCCTATAATCATAGCATTAATTCATGGTATAAATTGGGTAATGTCCATTCAGTAGTAATGTGAATTTTTGATCTGCGAGACATAAAGCAGATTATACATATTATTCTAGTAGGTGTTTCTTTACATGAAACATGTTGTACTTTATTTTGCTATTGTGTTGATTTTGATGATTTAGTTGTCATGCTATGTTATATTATTAAAAAAATATTAAGTCATTTACCCCTATGTATTTTTCTCAATATGCATTAAATAACATGTGTAGAAAAATTACTTTGATTTCAGAAATGTACAATTCATTAAATATGGATTATATTATTTATAGTCCTGTAAAATAATATTTTATCCCAATTGGTACTTATCACCAATTAACGTAGGGAGTACAACATTTCAGAACCATGCTATACTTTATTTAAACATTGGTTTTTATATGGTGTTGATAGGTAATCATCCAAAACCAACCTTATTAAGACAGTGCCTGGGTCCTATATATATATATATATATATATATATATATATATATATATATAATTATTGCAAATAATTTTAATATCAACAGCATAAAAAGTATTGATAAATTGCTTAAAGATAGAAGAGTCATCCACCTCCCAGGGACAGCCCATTCCCCATGTACACATTAATTTTGATGGCCTATCTACATCTTTGATGATAGGTCAATGGATCCCTAAAGTTTCAACTTTCTCACTTGGTCTAGAAGCTATAGGAGGAGATAGTTGAAATTACTAACGAACAGACGCATGAATGGATGGAGGGATAACATGATCCCTGACTTTTGTCACAAAAGTGCGAGGATAAAAATGTTGTGAAAAACATAAATGCAGTGTTATTGTACCACCAGCGTAGGTGCTGGCAGTATACAGAGTTTTAGTTTTAAGGTCTCATTTTATCTTCGTGAGTTTGGGGTCAATCTTGCATTTTCAAAGTGCATCTTCTTTCAAAATCTGGAACCATGAATGGTAGAGACCTCTTGTTTGTTGCATTTTGTAGAGCTTGTCAAGTTTTCCATAGGGTTTTTCATATGGTGTTGCACTATATCAAAAAATACAATGTATAAGTACAAGTATCTAAAAGTTCAGTGGTGAGATACGCCCATATAGTTACTATTGAACCTGAACAAAAGGTCATATATTGGCCATCTTACTGTGAACTTGAATTTGACCTTTGACCTACTTTTCATCATGAGCTGTATTTTGCAAATTTTCCAACCTGTTAATCTCCAAAACTGGCAGAGACATGCCCATAGTTACTATTGAACTTGAATGGGAAGCCAAGTCATATAATGGCAATCTTACTTTGGCTTCGATTTTGTTTTTTGATCTACTTTTCATCATGAACTGCTCTTTGCAAGTTTTCCAGGCCTTATATCCAAGGGGCCGTAGCAATAGTCCGAAGGTTCATTAGTCCGAAGGTTCATTGGTCCGAATGTTCACTATAGAACCTTCGGACCAATGAACCCTTGATTAAAAAATCGATGAAAATGTTACCACTTTTCGGACCAATGAACCTTCGAACCCATGAACCTTCGGACTAGTGAGACGCCCCCATATCCAAAACTGGCAGAGATATGCCCATAGTTACTATTTACTACTCTTGCAAACAAAACTGCATATTCCATTAACAACAACACATTGATTATCTTCATCTACACTTGAATTTGACCTTAAGACTGCATTCCCACAGATTTTAGATCGATCTAAAATCTAGTGGGGAGTCTCACTAGATTACTGTCAGCTTAGCCACCTTAAATGTCTGTCCCGCCTACTTAAAGCTGTAAGGGGGTAATTAACTTCGGTGTGCGCTCGGCTGACAGCAATTTAGCGTAAACCCCCAGGGAGTTAGGTCGGTCCAGTTGGATCGATCTAAGTCTGTGGGAATGCAGTCTTAAACTACTTCTCCCCAAAAATACTCTCACCACATTTACCTAGACCTCTTTCTCCACAACTAACACACATACGGTGAAGACTCAATCTTTTCAATAAGGAAGAACTAACAATTTTTCATATACATATTTTTAAAATCATTAAAGATATATTGCTGTGTAGCATCATTGGTACTTTTTCCATGGTACTTAAAGAGCTATAAGGTCGCCTGTTTATCAGTTTTGTTGCTATCACTCAAAAGGAATGTTCGAACTTATAAGAATTTATGACTTGAAAAAATACAATATCTGTAAAATTCATAATTTTTCCCCATTGAAAAGACTTAGTCATTACCCTACATCCATAGCTTTCCTCAACTTGAACGCCCTTACCAGGAGGCAGTATTGCCTCTCTGATTCTCTAGTTGAATTTATAGATATACTTTGTTTTTAATTTTAGACCTATACTGTGCGTCAGATAGTAATAACGGTACTGGTTTGTGTCTGGGGCATCCGTTTGTCTGGCTATCTCCTGTACAGGATTATCAAGATAGGAGAAGATTCCCGCTTTGATGACAGGCGAGACAGCTGCTTAAGATTTGCTGGCTTCTGGACATTTCAAGTAAGTTCCTGTAGTAAAATGTGACCTTCTGTTGACCTCATTGCATTAGTTAAATATGAATGACCTTATGACCTTGTCAAAATGTGACCTTGTGTTGACCTCATGTGACCTTATATTAATTTGTCATGTTTATGATATCATTTCACCAGTTTGTTTATATATGGTTAAGTTAGCACATTTAGATCTTCTTCTCAAAGGATTTTCATTTTGAAGCGAGATTAGGAAGTAAATGGTTTGGTGCACATTTTTTGCAGACTAAATCTGTTCTCTGATATGCCTTTAATGTTTCAGGGTCTATATATCCTTGAAAAGTGATTTAGTTTAGCACTTTGCTTTGAAATCAGTTTGTGGCCCTGAAAAAAAGCATTATTTTGTCATTTTGCCCTTAAAAATCCTTTAATTTATTTTTAATGTTGCTGTATGAAGCCTGTGTATAAAACCTACAGATAGACTAGTGACAAAGAACAACAATGTAGCCAATGTCAAAACAAAATTTCCGATGGAGGAATAAACATTTATTTACACTCGCCTAGACACAATATGGTGATGGTGATCTGAAATATAATTGAAACAAATGAAAGTAAAAGAATAAACAAATATAAATTTCAACTTAATACAAATATCACAATGAAGAAATTACAATAAAACACATACATTAAATAACTGAAAATATGTACATAACAATGCTGCCTCCACTCTTTCGCATACAGTACTAGGAGTGTTCCAACCGTAACAATACATGGTGACGTTTTATTACCACTCAACAGAACACCAATCATCCAACATATGAGGGCGCCACTCACACCAAGACGAGAGAACACAAAGTAAACAACACAAACAACTCAAACAAATGAAACAAACAAACAAAAAAATTGCCGACGACACTGTCAGCAACAACAACTTTCTTCTCAAGTCTGTTGTTATATTTCAAGTATGTGAATTCCCTACAGACATGCAGGAAGCATAACTATTCATATAAATAGACTGGTACATGAATGACATTTATGGACAAGCAGGTGTCAAGTTCCTGTTTTTGCCAATTTTTTGGAAAACAATTTTTTTCCTAAATTTATCTTGGAATTTTGTATTTGTATAGCCTTGTAATAGCTTTATGTATCATTTTACATTGGTTGTGAATAATTAGTACCGCCAGCGTGTACGCTGGCGGTACTCATGGTTTTAGTCCCGACCCGTATCGTACTGCTCCGCCGGCTTCGCCGGCTCCGTGGGGTGGCGTGGGATACAAGTCACCGTTACCGCTTCTCCTCCTAGACTGCACGGACCTGTGTTCCCATCTCTTGGATTTAGGTCACATATAATCTCAACTTGAACCCCCTGGTTTTTTTGTCTCAGTCGGTGCATTCGCTTGGGTGTGACACTCGATGAAATGCACCCTTGTCAAATTTTTTGAAAATTCAATGCTATATATCTCCTTAACGGAAGGAATTATGGGAAAAATTAGTATAGAAGTCTGACCGAAAGTCATATATGAGGATTTCAAATATGCCTTTGGATTTGACCTTTGACCTTTTTTTCAAGGTCAAACAGGCCAAAATTTTCTAAAAATGGGAATTTTTTGCAAAAAAACTTTATTTGTGCCGAATTTCAGAAACTACTCAGAGTTTAGCACTCATATTATAGTGAGGGGATGCAATTAGGGATGCCTTTCATCTTTAGGAGTTTGGGGTCAATGGGTGCATTTTCATGGGAGAAACGGCCATAAGATGCCGAAACTGAAAACTCTCCCTAATTCTGGAACCGTAAATGCTAGAGACCTCTTGCTTTTTGCATTATGTGGAGCTTGTCAAGTGCAATACTGGAGGTGGTGTCCATGTTTTTGTTTGCGATACGATCAAGGAGTTGTGCTATATCAAAAAGCACAACTGAGCAATATTCAGTGGTGAAAATAAAATGTGAAATACTCCAAAAGTAGCTGAGATACACCCTTGAACTTGAACTTGAATAGGAAGTCATATACTGGCAATCTAACTGTGACCTTGAAATTGACCTTCGACCTACTTTTCCTCCATGAACTGAACTTTGCAAATTTTCCATCCCTTATATCACCAAAACTAGCAGAGATAAACCCACAGTTATTATTGAATTTGAATAGGAAGTCATATAATGGCAATCTAACTGTGACCTTGAAATTGACCTTTGACCTACTTTTCACCACTAACTGAACTTTGCAATTTTTCCATCCCTTATATCACCAAAACTAGCAGAGATACACCCATAGTTACTATTGTACTTGAATAGGAAGTCACATACTGACAATCTAACTGTGACCTTGAAATTGACCTTTGACTTACTTTTCACCATGCACTGAACTTTGCAATTTTTCCATCCCTTTTATCTCCAATACTGGCAGAGATACACGCATGGTTACTTTTGTACTTGAATAGGAAGTCATATGCTGGACATCTAACTGTCACATTTAAATTGACCTTTGACCTTCTTTTCACCATGAACTGAACTTTGCAAATTTTCTATCCCTTATATTTCCAAAACTGGCAGAGATAGGCCTATTTTTTTCTTTCAATAGATATGCAACAATGATAATGCATTTTCTGATCAGTCCTACTGCTGAGGTAGGTGGTACTTATTGGAGTCAAACCATTTCCACTGGGAGCAGACTTACACAAGGACCAGTAATGTGATAAAGGTGGCCTGAGAGAAGTTTGAAGTAATTGCCAGGCTGCTGGAATGGGGAAATTATGTATGGATTGCTTGATTGATGAATCTGCTTGAGTTTTATTTACTTATTGTGCTCACACATTAAAAGGCACCTGCTCGGAACGGGTCATGCACGAAAAACCTTAAAACACATAGGAGAAGATATATGACAAAAGTTAAGGCCATCAAAGATATCGTTTATCTGTGCTTATTATGTATGACTGTTTTACTTTTAGGACTTGAAGCATTGTTCCTGCAGTGCTGTAAGTTTCAGAGTACTATATGATGACCCCATAAAGTGGTTTCATTGCCACTCTGGTTTTATGTGCCTTATTGATCAACTGTGAGGGCTCAAATTGAATATAGCAGTGATAATTAAATCAGCTCTCTATCTTTAAAAGGCCACAGCACCAAGGGGATCCTTTACAAATGGTAGATAACCGCACTGGGAAAAGACATTCATAGAAATGTTTTACATGTTTCACATGGTGTCTGTAGAAATGGCCGTCATCTGCTTCTTTTGACGACAACATCTTCGTAGTGCACTTTCAGTGATAACATGATAAGTGGAAAACTGTTTAACCTATTGCCTTTAAGCTTGCAGAACTGATGAAAATTCATAAAATACAGGTTGAAAATGAACATTATGTGACCATTTTTCCAAAAGCTCTACTGTTTCTTTCACTATTTGCAGCATATATGCAATTGACCTTTGATGTACTTTTCACCAGGAACAGTACTTTGCAAATTTTCTGGTCCTCATACTTCCAAAACTAGCAGAAATCACTATTCTCACTGTTGAACTTGAATAGGAAATCATTTATTTGCAATCTTAATGTGACCTTGAATTTGATGTTGACCTTTTTTTCTCCATGAACTGAACCTCCAATATTTCGATGTCTAACAGAGCATATTCACCAGAGAAATAGGCTATCCAGGTGAATAGCCTCTATTCTAATCTAGCTGTAAGCCATCTTAAGCTGTTGATTGAAGAAAAAGACACATGACATTCGCCCCATAGCTTCCAAACCATATTTTTGACTTACTTTAAATTTACTGAATGGCTTTGATTGGTGGCAGGTTGCTTTTGAAAATTGGCATGATCAGTTTACGTTTACCATAATTATAATTATTATTTTATTTTTTATTTTTTTATTTTTTTATTTTTTTTGCACAGTTTTGGTGATGTTCACCCCATAATTGCCAAACTGTATTTTGGTTTTACGCTAAATTTATTTAGTGGCTTTCTTTGCTAAAGAGGTAAGATGCTTTCGAAAATTGTCATGATCAGTTTACATCTATGATAATTATTCTGTTTTTTTTTTCACAACTTTGGTGATGTTGCCCCATAACTTCCAAACCGTTTTTTTGTTTTACTTAAACTTTGCTGAATGTCTTTGTTTGGTAAAGCCACAGGTTGCTTTCAAAAATCAGCATCATCAGCATACATTTATGGTAATTATTCTGTTTTTTTTTTTTACGTGTAAAATTTTCATTTTTCATACATTAGCAATTTCAGTGGCTTTTATATCACATGGAATTGAATCACTAGTTTATTGATGTCATTGTAAATATATATCTATTTTATTATGTAACAGCGCATCGGAATTTGTCAAAACATAATTTTGTGCACTTTTTTTTCTGCATTATGTCTGAACATTTCACAGCTTTGTTGCCTTGTTTCCTGTATGGTGTCTGTATATTTGTCAGCTTTGCTGTCTGGTTTAATATCTTTGATGAGAAAATAAGGCACAAAAGGGCCACTTTTTCAGAAAAAGACTATCCCCCCTTTGTAATTGCTGGCTATAGGCCTGCATGGTATAGGATAATAATTGTCCCTTCTGACCAAATTGGGCTTTGATGAATGCTTTATCTGCAGCCTGTACAGTTGTGTTAAGTTTATAAAGACTCCCAATATTTGTCTTATAGCTAAATGCTGCACAGAAACCTGCGTACAGTGTGATATGGTGTAGCAACATCTCCATGGACTGATTTTCCATATAGACTATGCATAGTAACTTGTAAAACCCATAAGCCTCAGGCTGTGTTCAGAATAAAAGTTATCAGTCCAGCAGGATTGATCAATCTCTATGGGGATCCTGTCTTAAGTACACTCAATGTAATCAGCTTTATTGTTTGGCCTGCTCCCTCAAGAAGCTAGGGGGTAAGCTTCTTCACTTCGTTTGAGTGCAACCAGTAGAAATGTGTCGAGATAACTTAATTGTGGATGCACCAAAGTTAATTACTCCCTAGCTTCTTTAGGAGGCCAGGCAGGCAATTAAGCTGATTTCATTGAGAATCCCCACAGAGATAGATAGATCCTGCTGGACAGATACCTTTTATCTTGAACACACGGAGGGGGGGGATATTTACAGTCAGTGTTAATCTTTGCACTGAATCTTAATACTGGATAGGAGCGGAATTAATGAGAGTTTGATTGATTCTTGTCAGTGTGTGAACTTTTAACTTTCAGCCAGTGAGTTCTTGGCTGATATCAATAGAAAACTTTTTATGTGCAGACACAGATGTGTCTGTACATATAGCCCTCACCTGCATCTGTTGTTGCCGATGCCGTCGTCCCAGGATTTTGACCTTTGACCTTTATTTCAAGGTTTTTTAGGGAAGTTATGCTGTTTTTTTTCACTTTTTTCAGCATATATGCAGCACCGATAACATGATAAGTGGAAAACCATTTTACCTTTTGGCTTGAAACTTACAGAACTGATGAATATTCATAATACACAGGTCGAGTTTGAAAATCAGCATGATCGAGCAATGCTTATGGAAGTTATCCTGTTTTTTTTTTGTTTTTTCAATTTTTATAACACCGATAACATGATAAGTGTAAAAATGTTTTTCCTTTTGGCTTGAAACTTACAGAACTGATGAATATTAATAATACGCAGGTCAAGTTCGAAAATTGGCTTGATTGGACTATTTTTACAAAAGTTTGTCTGTACATATAGCCATCATCTGCGTCTGTCGTCGCCGTCGTGCACTTTTACCGATAACACGATAAGTGGAAAACCATTTTACTTTTTGGCTTGAAACTTACAAAACTGATGAATATTCATAATCCGCAGGTCAAGTTCGAAAATCAGCATGATCGGGTCATTTTTAGGGAAGTTACGCTGTTTTTTCACTTTTCTCAGCATATATGCAACACCGATAACACGATAAGTGAAATAACATTTTACCTTTTGGCTTGAAACTAACAGAACTGATGGATATTCATAATACGCAGGTCAAGTTCGAAAATCAGCATGATTGGGCCTTTATTTTAGAAGTTATGCTGTTTTTTCACATTTCCTCAGATTCAATTATTAGGCATGTTAACAGTCTCATTATTAAACTAATAAGATACGTAAAAGTGTTTGTTTGACATTTCCTGCATCTTTACAACATTGTTAGTTGATTTTGTAAAAATGATGGTAAACTTGTTATCGTGTATTGTGTAATAAAGTTTCAAAAATGGAAATAAACTCATATCATTGCAGTTTGTCAGATTCAATCATCCACTATGTTCAGAATCTCAGAATGGAGGAAATTGGACATTTAACACTGTTCTATTGATATTTTTCCCATCTCATCAATTTTCTTAGTTGGTCATATAAAAATGGCAACAAACTGTTTATTTTGTTTTATGTTAAAAAAATGTTAAAAATGGAAATAAACCCATTTCAGAACAGTGCTGTCTTGTTTACATTTTGGCATTTTCAAGATGTGACTTTGAAGTTCCATGAGCCTGCAGACCTTTGCTAGTCACATTTTCTGAATATCCATGATACTAATATTTTATTATTAAAAATTGATGGTCATTATGCTGTTAAACATTATGTAATATTGCATCAAAATTTGAAGAAACCCCTATTTTGGGCACTGCTCCCATGATGACCATTTAAGAAAAACCATGTCACTTACTGTTTTCAAACTTACAGGAAAGAAACATGGGGCTAAAATACAGCTTCAGTAGGCAATGCAGTCTGTTTGGTAATTTTTTCTGGCAGTTAAACAGTTTTTTGTGAAAATTTAATTTTTCACATATTGGCATTTTCAAGGTGTGACTTTGAAGTTCCATGAGCCTGCAGACCTTTGCTAGTCACGTTTTCTGAATGTTCATGTGACTAATATTCCATTATTAAAAATTGATGGTCATTATGCTGTTAAACATTATGTAATATTGCATCAAAATTTGAAGAAACCCCTATTTTGGGCACTGCTCTCATAATGACCATTTAACAAAAATCATGTCAATTACCGTTCTCAAACTTACAGGAAAGAAACATGGGTCTAAAATACAGCTTCAGTTGGCAATGCAGTCTGTTTGGTAATTTTTTCTGGCAGTTAAACAGTTTTTTGTGAAAATTTAATTTTTCACTTATTGGCATTTTCAAGGTGTGACTTTGAAGTTCCATGATCCTGAAGACCTTTGCTTGTCACGTTTTCTGAATGTCCATGTTACTAATATTCTATTATTAAAAATTGATGGTCATTATGCTGTTAAGCATTATGTAATATTGCATCAAAATAGAAGAAAACACAATTTTTGGTGCTGCTGCTATGATGAGCATTATGGGAAAACCGTGTTATGACTGTCAAACCTTTAAAAAAGAAACACAGGACTAAAATGCAGAATGAGTTGGAAAAGCAGTCTAATTGGCTTCTTTTTCTGGAAGTTATACATTTGAGTGAAATATTCATTATCTTTTTGGCATATTCATTGTGGGACTCGGAGCTCCCATGGACATGAAGCCGAATGGTAATCAAATTTTCTACATATCCATGCTATTTATTATCAATAATCAAAGATTGGTGATAATTATTCTATAATTTATTATGTAATGTTACATCAAAATTGACAACAATATTTTTGCATTGCTACTGCAAACATTATGAAAAGAAAACTGTGTTACTTATTATTATTTTTAACTTACAAGTATGATTTTTAGGATTGGCATGCAGTTCAAATTAGAAAGCCAGGTCAATTGGGTTATCATTTATTATTGAATTTATGCAATTTTGTGTGAAATTTTCATTTTTCTCATTCTGGCACTTTCTAAGTATAAACTTGAACTCTGATGGGCCTGAAGCCTTATGCTTTTACTTTCGTCGTTGTTACCTGTTGTGCATAATTAAAATTTGATGTTGACTGTGCAGTAAAACATAATGTATTATTGCATCAGAATTGGTAGTCTCCTATTTTGTGCATTATTGTTTTGTGCTTTTCTTAAGATGTGACTTATGGGCCTGAAAGACCTTTGAGAGGGTCAGTCTGTTAATATCCCTTGGGTATCACGTAGCTAATTTCTGAGTTATAAAGTCATTTGCCTAATTGATAGGCCATTAAAGGAGATTACATAAAGCACACTTGTTGATATTTCCTTGTAAACTCCCAAAAGTTAAGCTCTCTGCTAGATTAATAATAAGGAAGCAGTGATAATTATGCAGGTTATTAATATATATATATAATCAAAGATTAAAAGTTTGAATGGCAGCTTCATTGAAATTATATTTACCTCAGGCTCTGCCTAGGAGGTTATATTTTCACCCCTGTTTGTCTGTCATCAACATAACTCAAAAAGTTATGGACCGATTTTGCTGAAATTTTCAGGAACTGTCAGAATTGGGCCAAAGAGGACAATGATTAGTTTTTAGTGGTGGTCTGGCTCAATAATCAACAATAATCAACAATTGCTGCCTTGGCAGAGGTCTGCAGTCTCGGTGGTTTTCTAGTTTTGTTAGGTTTTCCTTTACAATTTTTTCTCAAACACTTGCATTTGTGACTTTTAACTCTCATCCGCTCGAGGCTCTGCACATTTTCTGTATTTCCACATAAACAATTGTATTGTTTTTTATGTCTTTAAACATTATATAAAATTATTTTATGCACTGTCATCATTTTTCAAATATTGAGACTTTCATCATGTGACTATAGTCTCTCATGGTCCTGAAACTGTAATCTTATTGAAGGGGTGGATTGAGACCATCTTCTGGGTCTTCTTGAAGACAGGTTATTAAGTTTATATTGACTGGTATCTATTTTTTTCTGTTGGAAGACCATCAAAATGGAGGATGGATCAACATAGATACTTTGGAATATTGTCAGAAAATATCTCAGGGTCCGCTCCTGTTATTGACCATGTTACCTGTTGTGCATGATTAAAATTCAGTGTTGACTGACAGTGCTATTATAAGCATTATTTATTATTGCATCAAAATTGACAAAATGACCTTTTTTTGCATCTTTATTTTCTGTTTTTTGTCTGTACATTTGACAGCTTTGCTGCCTTGTTGTTTTCGATACAGCTTATCGATATATCGATAAGTTCAACATCCAATATTTAGTGGTGAAAATAAAATGTGAAATACTCCAAAATGTGCAGAGATATGCCCATAGTTACTGTTGAACTTGAATAGGAAGTCATATACTGGCAATCTAACTGTGATCCTGAAATTGACCTTTGACTTATTTTTTACCATGAACTGAACTTTGCAAATTTTCCAGTCCTTACATCTCTAAAACTGGCAGAGATACATCCATAGTTACTATTGAACTTAAATAGGAAGTCATATACTAGCAGTCTTACTGTGACCTTGAAATTGACCTTTGACCTACTTTTTATGATGAACTGTGCTTGATTGTACCATTTTTAGTTATATTTTTTTGCTTATTTTGAGAACTCTTGTTGATTGCATTTTATAGAGCTTGTCAAGCACAAGACTGGTGGTGGTGACCCCTTTTTTTTAGGGGGGGGTCCAAACGAATGCGCCTCCAGCTGGTGGTACAATATCCGGAGGCGGTATCGCCTCTCTGATCCTTTAGTTATTTTGTGCTTTTTGTCTGTACATATTACAGCTTTGCTGCCTTATTGATTTTCCAGGCCATGTGGGTTTTCACTGTGAGTCTCCCAGTGATTTTCATCAATGCCCCTGGCACCAAAGAGAAAGCCCCTGCAGATGAGTTTAAGGCTGTTGACATCATAGCTACTGTGGTGTGGACAATTGGGCTACTCATAGAGACCTTTGCAGATTTTCAGAAGTTTAATTTTAGAGATAACCCTGATAACAAAGGAAGATGGTGTGACTATGGTAAGGGGGACATTTCTCTACTAACACTTCATTGTTAGTGGGCACTGTTTCTGCTATGTAATGTTTTCTACTTTGTAATTTTCTAGATCTATTTAAATCTTGTAAAATAAAAGGTAAAATGGCATTGCACCTAACCTCAACTCCCTCGTACTTAGTTAGTGGACATAAAAAGAAACAACAGATTCTTATGAAGGGAAGGTGTATTTTACACCCCATTTCCATAGATTAGATCGACCTACTTTAGATCGACCTAACTCCCTGGGGGTTCACGCTAAATAGCTGTCAGCCGGGCGGACACGAAAGTTAATTACCCCCTTTACAGCTTGTAGTAGGCGGGACGGACATTTAAGTCGGATTATCTGAAAGTAATCTAGTGAGACTCCCCGCGGGGATAGATCAATCTAAATCTATGGGAATAGAGCCTAAGAGAGACACGCATTCTCACAGAGAAAATGGGTTAATTTGTTCTCTTAAAAGTGATTCAAAACAGTAATCATATGCTTATAAATGCAAGCAAACCAAAATGTAAATGTAAATATAAAATTGATTATTGTACCACCAAGGTGAGCACTGGCAGTACTCATCAATTTAGCCCTGACCTGTCTCTTCTGCCAGCTCCATTGACAGGTACAAAACACTATTACCCCATCTCCTGATAGACTAAATAAGGACCTGTGTCTTCATCTCTTGGAATTAGGTCACATACAGTTACAACTTGATTTCCCTTGATTTTAAGCTCTGGTGGTGTATTTGGATAAATGTGATGCTCGTCATATAAACTGTTGTCAGAAGTTTTGAAAATTAAATGCCACATATTTCTTAAACTAAGAAAAAACATGGAATAAGTTACTACAGAGTTCTGATAGAAAGTCATATCAAAATTTTCAAATATGATAGCCCTAAAGTGCTTTTATATTATGATGAGATGTTACACTTGGGGGGTCTCCTGTCATCTACATCAGTTAGGGGTCAATCAGTTCATTTTCACAGGAGAACCAGCCATTAGATGACAAACTGAAAAATCTAATTCTGGCACCCTAAAAGCTAGAAACCTCTTGATTTTTGCATTTGTAGAGCTTGCCAAGCGTAACACCATTTGTTGGTTTGTTTGTTTGTTTTGCTTTCCAGATGCACCCAGAGTCACTATTAAAATTGAATGGAAATTTAAGTCATATATAGGAATTCTTTTTATGACCATGAAGTTGACTTTTGGTCTGCTTTTTACCATGAACTGCAATTGATTGTCAATTTTCTTGCACTTGTTTATCCAAAACTGGCAGAGTTGCGCTAATAGAAAGTAATAAACTTGAATATATAGGAAATCACATATTGGGAATCTAAATGTGACCTTGATTTTACCTTGACCTATTTTTGACTATGAACTGCACTTTCCCTATAGCCCTTATATCTCCAAAACTAACAAAGGTGCATCAATTAATAAACTTGAATATGAAATCATATATTGGTAATCTTAATGTGACCTTGATTTAACTTTTGACATACTTTTTGCAATGAAATGCACCTTTCAAAATTTGGACCCCTTGTATCTCCAAAACTAGATGAGGTACTACCATAGTTTTAATTGAACTTACATGGAGAATCACATATTGTGCCACATATTGTGAATCTTAATGAAACATCCATAGTTAGTATCAAATTTGAATGAGGAATCATATATTTAAAATCCAATTTTGACCTTGAGTTTGACCTTTAACCTATTTTTTACCATGAAATGCATTCACCAATTTTTTTTTACCTCTTACATTTCCTAATCTAGAAGAGATACACCCTTATTTACCAAATCATGCATTAAGAATACAAAAGTTACCCTGAATTTGACCTTTGACCTTTTCTACACTATGTAGTGTAATTTTCACATTTTGTACCTCTCACATTTCCTAATCTAGAAGAGATTCACTTGTAGTTAACATAAAACTTGAATGCACTTAATCCTATTGGTTGTGTAAAACCTGATGGTGGTATCTCCATTCTGATCTTCTACTTAATACAGTGTATCCTTTTTATTTTAGGTTTGTGGAAATGCTCTCGCCACCCGAATTACTTTGGAGAGCTGGTCATTTGGTGGTCAGTTTTTGTGATAAGCACGTCCATTTTACGGTACGGTCAGTGGGCCGCCATTCTCAGTCCAGTGTTTATCACTTTCATCATCCTGTTCCTTTCTGGGATCCCTCTACTGGAGCAGAAGGCAGATGAACGCTACAAAGGGTAATTCATTGTTTGATTTTGTAGAACTTACATAATGGCTATGTGATAACATCTCAAACCATTAGGGTAAAGTGCTGCATTGCAGTGGTTATGCAGTGGTAAACTAACCAATCATACGTATTGTACAATATGGTTTTAGTCCTGACCCGCCTGTTCTGCTGGCTCCGCCGCCATGTCATGATTACCGCTTCTCCTCCTAGACTACAAGGGCCTGCATACCCATCTCTATTATCTATAATCTCAACTCGTTCCACGTAAAATATGGGCTTCGTCGGTGCTGGTGTCTAGGTGTGGCGTTCATTGCAATGCACCCTTGCCCAAAATTGGCAAAATTAAATGCTAATTATCTACCATACCGAAGGAATTATGGGAAAAATTTCTACAGATGGCTGACAGAAAGTCATATGTGGAGATTTCAAATATGCCCTTGGATTTGACCTTTGACCTTTGTTTCAAGGTCAAACGGGCCAAAATTTTCAAAAAAACGAATTTTTTTACGAAAAAAAAAAAATTTGCGCTGATATTCAGAAACTACACAGACCTAACCTATAATATTATTGGCAGGTGTTACCCTTCAGGTCATCTTTCACCTCCATGAGTTTGGAGTCATTCGGTGCATTTTTATGGGAGAAGCGGCCATAAGATACCGAAACTGAAAACTGTCTCTAATTCGGGAACCGTTAATGCTAGAGACCTATTCTTTTTTGCATTTTGAGAGCATGTCAAGCCNAAAAAAAAATATTTGCGCTGATATTCAGAAACTACACAGACCTAACCTATAATATTATTGGCAGGTGTTACCCTTCAGGTCATCTTTCACCTCCATGAGTTTGGAGTCATTCGGTGCATTTTTACGGGAGTAGCGGCCATAAGATACCGAAACTGAAAACTGTCTCTAATTCGGGAACCGTTAATGCTAGAGACCTATTCTTTTTTGCATTTTGAGAGCATGTCAAGCCCAATACTGGAAGTGGTCTCCGTTTTATTTATTTCCATACGGTTAACGAGTTATGCTGTATCAAAAAGTACATTGTGGTGGTGAAAGCAAAATGTGCAATACGGTAATGTGTAATAAATTTTGAACCTCTGGAAAATAAAACATAAGGCTTGGCAATGCAGACAACTTCTGGTCAAAAATGACATTATTTCATGAAATTTGAACATCTGCAACTTCTGAGCACCTCCCATTTCAAGAATTTCAACCAAAATGACCTTTTCTTTATTTTAATTAATTTCTTTTGTAGAAAATTTATGGCACATTATTGTAACTCAGAAATTGTACCATTTAAGTCCCTTATATCTCCAAAACTGGCAAAGAAATGCCCATAGTTACTATTGAACTTGAATGGAAGTCATATACTGGCACTCTAACTGTGACCTTAAAATTGACCTTTGACCTACTTTTCACCATAAATTGAACTTTGCAACTCTTTTAATGCTTATACTTTCAAAACTAGCAAAGTTACACCCATAGTTACTATTGAATTTGAATAGGAAGTCATTAGGGGCAATTTTACTGTGACCTTAAAATTGACCTTTGTCCTATTTTTCATCATGATTTGAACTTTGCAAATGTTCGTTCCCTTTTATCTCCAAAACTGGCAGAGATGGTCCATAGTTTGAAGTTTGAAGTTGAATAGGAAGTCAATAAGAATACTGGCAATCTAAGTGTGACCTTTAAACTGACCTTTGACTTAATTTTCAGTATGAACTGAACTTTGCTAATTTCTTTCCCTTTTAACTCCAAAACTGGCAGAGATAGGTCCATAGTTACTATGGAAGTTGAATGGAAGTCATATACTGGTAATCTTACTGTGACCTAGAAATTGACCTTTGACCTTTTTTTCATGATAAACTGCACTTTGCAAATTTTCTGATCTTTATATGTCCAAAACTGGCAAAGATATGCACATAGTTACTATTAAACTTGAATAGGAAGTAATATACTGGCAATCTAACTGTGACCCTTAAATTGACCTTTGACTTAATTTTCATCAGTTCATGCTGAAAATTTTCTGATCTTTATATCTCAAAAACTGGCAAATATACGCCCATAGTCCCATAATAAAATGTGAAATACTCCAAAATTAGCAGAGATATGCCCATAGTTACTGTTGAACATGAATGGGAAGTCATATACTGGCAATGTAACTGTGACCCTGAAATTAACCTTTGATGTAATTTTCAGCATGAACTGATGAAATTTTTCTTTCCCTTATATCTTAAAAACCGGTAGAGATACACCCAAAGTTGCTGTTTAACTTGAATAGGAAGTCATACACTGGCAATCTGTGACCTTGAAATTGACCTTTGACCTACTTTTTTATGATGAACTGCTTTTTGCATGTTTTTTGGCCTTTAAATCTCCAAAATTGGCAAAGAAATGCCCATGGTTACTATTGAACTTGAATAGAAATTCATATACTGTGATATTGAAATTGACCTTTGACCTACTTTTTCACCATGAACTGAGCTTTGCATATTTTCTTGCCCCTCATATCTTTAAAACTAGCGGAGATGTGCCCCTAGGTTTTCTCTTTTGTCAGCATATATGCAACACTGACATCACATTTCAAGGAAAACCAATAGGCCTATTGTCTGGAGAATCACAGGAGTGATCAATGTTAGGAAAATACAGGTCAATTTGAAAATCTGCTTGATTGTACCATTTTTAGTTAATTTTTTTTGCATATTTTGAGAACTTGCATTTTATAGAGCTTGTCAAGCACAAGACTGGTGGTGGTGTCCCTTTTTGGGAGGGGGGGTTTCCATACGAATGCGCTTACTCCAGCTGGTGGTACAATATCCAGAGGCAGTATCGCCTCTCTGATCCTCTAGTTGGACTTGAAGCATTGGTTCATTTGCATAACTGGTACTAATAAAGAGCTGCACAGGTAGTGCAGTGGTCAGTTATTGTTCACTTGTGTTAGAGTTGTTTACTTCAGGTGTCCAGGTAGACTTCAGCAGGTCTTATTACTTTGAAAAATACCAAAATATTCAGTGCGCTACAGTTTGATTGAATTTACTGATTAATAAATTGATGGTTTGAATAATTGAGTGGTTGATTGATGTGTTTCATTGAATTGATGAAAAGATTGGTGGATCTGAGTTGAGAGGCAGCCATGTGTGGTCAATAATTTCAGTGAGTTAACCTCTTAGAGACCATTCCCAGACCCTATTGTACTAACTTTGGATCAAACTATCTCTTAAGGGGTTCTCGCTTAATTGCAATTAACTTGGGCGGCTTAGATGTCTGTCACACCTGTTGAGGCTGATAGGGGGTAATTAACTATCATTTAGCAGCTTTAGTGGGCATCCCAGACATCTAAGCCGCTTGGGCTGAAAGCAATTTAGTAAGGGACCCCATGGAGATGGACTGATCCTAATAGATTGATCTAGGGATGGGAACACAGTCAAACTCACTATGCCATCTTACCCTCTACCAGGGCGACAGATAGATTTTTTACAGATATTCACAGATATGTCTCTAGATAGATAGACGGTCATTTTGGTCTGTAGTCGCCCTGTTGAGAAATCTCAAGGCTGATTACATGGCTGGTAATTGTTTGCATAACTGCTCAGGCACTGCCACTAAGCAGGTCAAGTCTAAGGGTGTATTCCCAGACATTTAGATCGATCTATCCCTGTGGGGAGTCTCACTAGATTAATGTCAGATAATCCGGCTTAAATGTCTGTCCCGCCTACTACAAGCTGTAAGGGGGTAATTAACTTTCGTGCCCGCTCGTTTGGATCGATCTAATCTCTGGGAATGGGGTCTAAGTCTGCTTGACAGCAATCAAGACAGTTAATTGCTCTGACCTTAATCACTTGCTTTTGTGACAGATAAAAATTGCATCCTCACATTCAGAGTGAGGCAAACTGAGGAATCCCCTGAAGTAGTTGTAGAGGTATAAATAAAAACTGGTGCAGTAGGGTATTGTTACGGTATGGAACGAGAATACATACAATACTTTTTACTTCAGAGTGAGGCAAACCGAGGAATCCCCTGAAGTAGTTGTAGAGGTATAAATAAATAAATACTGGTGCAGTAGGGTATTGTTACGGTATGGAACGAGAATACAGATCGGATAGTAAGAAAATTTTGGGCTTTTGTAGGGGTGACAGAACATCAATTTGTAGCAGTGAGTGCTGCACTCAGTGGGAAGGACGCGTGTGTTGGCATTCCTACATTAGGTGGGAAAAGCCTATGATTCCAGCTGCTAGCTTCCATTTATTGAAGAGTCCATGCCAAATGTCCTATCTAACGTGCCCCCTTTCAAAGAACTTGTGTACGGCCCACTCTTTGGCCTCTTGAGTCTAAATCAAAGATATATTTATTTCAGAAGATTAGATTTTACCCAAATCACGTTGCCTTAACCTACAGGCGCAGTGTACATGTACAGTGTACTAATGTCACAGTTTTCTCCCTGGCCGAAGTAAATGATTTTATAAAGAGTACTAAATTAAAGGGAGAGTCAATACACCACTGATAATGATATTATGAAATCAAACTGATCATGTTGTACCGCAAAAGTACGTAGAAGACTGCACTTCGTAGTTCTAGTACTTCTACTACCAGCGAACACCAATCTACAGCATATCCTAACTGCGGGAGATGTTTTTCAAAGAGTCAATAATAAGTAAGTCATATATAAGAGTAAACAGAGTCTATATAATTGTATAAGAAAGACAATACCTCCAGTAATTAATTGTTAGAACGTCTTATCTATTTTCTCCTTTCTCCTAATTATTCCCACATGGGATTTCTCAACAGGGTGACTACAGACCAAAATGACCGTCTATCTATCTAGAGACATATCTGTGAATATCTGTAAAAAATCTATCTGTGGCCCTGGTAGAGGGAACTGCCATCTAGGGACTCTATGTACACTGCCTGAGCCATATTGGTCAATATGTTTTCAGTGCGTCTTAATTACTTTCAATTGTCTAATAGTTGTGTTTTTTTTTTTACCAGTTATAGACTTTTTAGTGTTTTGATCACCTATAGGCTAGGATCTACACTCAACTAGGATAATTGACTTCTGCCTTCGATGTCTGGCAAGTATCCCTGGGCCAGTTTCAGCCAAAATCTATGACTTTGTGCAGGTTTTTAGGACGATAGAGGACGTAGTTGACAGTGTCTCATTTTGTCACCATGGCACCACAGAGGAGTGACCAGCACGTACTTGGGCTCATTGTAAACACAGCCAACAGTACAATAATTTTCTGCTATCTCTGTTATTATCCACCTATGAAAATGACTTCAAAACATGATTTTGGTCGACATAAACAATTAAAAATAAAGCCATTCTATATCTTAATAATTTAATAATAATTTAAAAGCTAAATTGACATGTCTGTTTTGCAGTGCAAGACTTTGGCAGGTCCACATAAACTTGGAAAGTGCTTTCATGGATTATTCAGAACAGAATACATGCATTCTCACTCAGTTTCAATGAATTGCCAAAATGTATTTCAAATTACCCTGAAAGTTGACTATTACTGAGAGAATTAAACCAGCTGGTCATGGCCTCAGTGCCTGCTTACGCCATCATAGAATAATAAAATAATTGGACCATAGTGCCTCTTCAAAACACAGTTTGCTTTTTCTACTAATTCTTTTCTGCGATCTCTCAGATGAAATGAATAATTCTGTCTCTTTCTCAAAGCATGACCCACACTGGAGCCTGAGAGAAAATATCAAGTGCACCACCTGTCGTCATCTTAAGAACTATTTATTTTGGAGGCTCTGCATCATGTATTATGTAATGATAGGTTTAAATGACGTGTATATGTTTAAAATGTCAGAGATGTATTGCCACAAACATTGCAATGGATGTCAAGTTTGTGGTATCAGTCCAACATATATAAATTACATATGAATTTTAAGCTAAATGTATTTGTGTGAATCGGTATTTGAAGTAACAATTGTGTTGGTTGAAACTACATACTTTCTCATCTCACCTACAGCAATGCAGACTATGTGGAGTACAAGCTAAACACCAGCCCCTTGGTTCCACTGCCTCCAAGTTTCTACAGATCCATTCCACGTCATCTGAGGTGTTTCTTATGTTGTGAGTTCCCACTGTACAATTTCCTTGAGGAGATGAACTACGACACACACTCTGCCAATGAATCAACTGTAATTACTACAGCATCTGTGACACCAGAGGTCATAAATGAGCAAGCCAAGATGAACCAAAACACAGTCAGTAGTGATAAAAATTATGGCACCACTCAGGAGCAGTCTGGAGCTGCTAGTACTGGGAACTTAAACAATAGTAACAGTAATCATATTGTAGAAATTGGTAACATTAATAATAATGGTGATGACAATAACAGTAATAACAATGGTTTTGGTAATTCATATGGTAATTATTACCATGCAGATCCCAACAGGCCCCAAGTGGTAGTTGCCATTACAAATGAGGCGGGGACAAAATGTAAGTCGATGCTCATGAATACTGGAGACGAAACTACAAGTGATCCCAAGCAAAGTTTGACTAATTTATACACTGGGAAAGAAGATGAAGTACCCCAAACCAGCAAACAAGTGACAGATCTGAAAAAATCATCTGACCCAACAAAGTGGTTCAGTTTGCCAAACATTCCCAACATGCCTGCGGTGAAAGTAATGGACACTTGTGTTGCATCTGTGAGCAGTGATGATGTCCCTGTGGTCAACAGAAAAGCACTATCGATGGTCAAAGATGACCCTGTACCTGACGATATATTTGAAAACCCAGATGATGAAGCTGTCTTGGTATTAAATGAGGGACACAAGGCTATGACTATGTAGATTTTATTCACTGATTATATATCAGGCTGAAGTGGTGCTGGCAGTGATTGATTTGACAAATCTTAAATTACATTATTTTAACAGGTTCATGTGTGTCAGAGGGTAAACTAGAACTAATTTGGAGAAACTAACAAAAGTTGAGATAATGTTGGAGGTCATGGCCACTGTGAATCATGATGGAATAGCAGTTCACTGTTAACAGGAGTGATCAGTTCTAAGTTGACAATAAAATTAAAACAAGGGTCACAAAAAACAAATTGGTGCTTGAAAGTCAAAAAATTGGGAAGTTGGCTGGCATGATGTGATACATGATTTTATCAATGTTATGGTGTATATATTTTGCAAAGTTGATATCAAGAGCAAATGTCTAAGAATCAAATATGGGTGGCGACGGCTCAAAAATAGATTTCCTTTTTTCGTCAAGCCATAGACCTTGATTCCAAGCTAACAAAACCAGCATTCTTACCTCTCAAAATATTTTTGATTTTTGATCTATTTTGTAAAATTGGGAAACTGAGTTAGAAACCTTGACATTGGCTGATTTCATAGCCTCGTTTCAATCACATGAAAATTAAAATCGTGTACATTTCAATTTGGTGCTTTGTGTTATTTTGTGAAACATTGTTTATGATGTTTGAAATAGTTATAATTTTGATAAATTTTGAAAGGTTATAGTTCCTGGAGCAGTACTTTGTCAGGTTAAAATGTCTCTGAAATATGGACAAAACCCTCAGTTATCCATAGCAATGATAAAAAATCTGGGTACCTCATGCAATCAATGTGAATATATATATATATATATATATATATATATATATATATATATATATATATATATATATATATATCCATCCTAAATTAGGTAGGTTTTCACTTTTTTCACAAATTTAAGAATTTAGAGTATATTTCATGGTGTCATATTACCTCAATCAGATTTTCATATTTGATATTGTCATTGCATGATGGAGAGCTGATTAAGACCTTGTTTAATATAAGCACAGTGTGGTATTCCAGCTCCGCTGAGTCTGCCGCTAGATGGACATAGAAGCATTTTCAGACCTATTAAAACCTTGCATAACCTCATTTGGCTTTTCACACTGAAGTTTAACATGGTTGTAAACATGGGCTGGTGTCTGTAAACTGTCTAAAATACAAACAATTCAAATGTGGTTCCATGACAACAGGAAGAAAACAGAAAAACAGAGTTGATTGAAAAGTTTCTTTTTTCTTTTAATTTCGTTCGTGAAAACACTGTTGCTTCATTCCCATCATTTTCCCCACCTACATATGTTCCTTCACAAACTCCATCATGTATTCATCCTCTTAAGCAGTAGCATGCTCTTAGGCCTGTAGCCAGCAGTTTCAGAAGGGGGTTCATTTTCTGAAAAAGTGGACCTTTTACCATAAAATCCTCAAGTACATAGGTCAAATTTTACCCAGAGTGGACCTTTTCCCAGCAAAAAGGGGTGGTTCTTTCGAACCCCCCCGAATCCCCCTGGCTACGGGCCTGGCTCTTGTCAGTAATTAGTTCCCTTCTCTATTTCTACTAGTCCATTTCCTTTGTGTGCATTCCTCTTGTCAAGTTTCCCTAGTTTCATTTGAGATTCTTTTCTGTTTGTCTTTTTAGCAAGTCAACGAGCTTGGATAAGCACTCTGCCAGCCTGCCATTAATGCTGGTGCTTAATTAATGATGTTGATATAAAAAAAACTCTTTACTTATATGACTTAATTAAATGACTAGACATCTCTTGATCAAACAGTTTTGAAATATGAAGTGCACTAATTAAACACACCTTTATGATATACATGTATGGGGAGTCCTAATTATAAAGCACTAACAATGGACCTTTTAGTCAAATAGTATTAACAGCACATGTAATGTTATTGTTGTATTTAGTATATTGATCAATATTTCATGACTGTGAGTGAAAATAAAGATTGATGTTATTAAGGAAATTTGTTTTTAGTTGATTTTTTTACTAATTTCTGTTGATATATCTCAAATGATAACAATGACAGTTTTACACGTTTTGAAGCTGAACATGTAGGCAGTTTGCACCAGTACAGTGTGAAGTATGCCAATATTATTATCAAATTTTACAATGTAATTGTTGCATTACTTGCACATCATTTTACTTATTTTTTATGTATAGACACAGATGTGTCTGTACATACAGCCGGCACCTGCATCTGTCGTCACCGTCACCGTGTGCTTTCAGTGATAACACAATAAATGTTATACCGTTTTAACTTTTCAGTGGTGGATATAGAGGGAGGGTCAGAGGGGTCCTGAACCCTCCTTCGGTTTCTGAAAAATATATCACACCAATATTCCTCTCTTGAAATTAGAATTTTGTCTAGCTAAATCATAGTTTTAAACCATACCAAAGGGCACTGTTTGCTCTCTAAGGGCGCATTCCCATATATTTTAGATCGATCTATCCCTGTGGGGAGTCTCGCTAAATTACTGTCAGATAATCCGGCTTAAATGTCCTTCCCGCCTACTACAAGCTGTAAGGGGGTAATTAACTTTCGTGCACGCTCGGCTGACAGCTATTTAGCATGAACCTCCAGGGAGTTAGGTTGATCTAGTTGGATCGATCTAATCTCTGGGAATGGGGTCTTAGACCAGATTTTAGATCAATCTATCCCTATGGGGAGTCTCACTAGATTACTGTCAGCTTAGCCGCTTTAAGCGTCTGTCCTGCCTACTTAAAGCTGTAAGGGGGTAATTAACTATGGTGCGCGCTCGGCTGACTGCAATTTAGCATGATCTAGATGGAGCGATATAAGTCTTTGGGAATGCACTCTAAAACACTCTCCAAAATTTTTATGGGGCCATTGAGCAGGCCCGTAACCCCATATGAGATGGTGGGCTTGGCATCTGAGGCCTGTCGTTCTGCCCCCCCCCTTCAAATAATCCTGGATCTGCCCCTGCTTTTGTCTTCAAACAAAACTGATGAATCATAAAATACAGGTCAGATTCAAATCAGCATGATTGGGCCATTTTTTCCAAAAGTTATGCTGTTTTTTTTCAGCATATTTTATCTACCATTATATAGATATCATGAAAACCATGTCATATTCTGCTTTAAAACTTGTAGGACTGATACGTAGGACTAATTTACGAATCAAGTTTGAAAATAAGCTTGATTAGTTCATTTTAGATGAAGCTATGCCTTTTTTTGAATATAAGTTGTTTTTCCTCAGATTCAATTCTTAGGCATGTTAACAGTCTCGTTATTGAACTAATTAGATATGTAAAAGTGTTCTTTTGATATTTTCTGCATCTTAACAACATTGTAAGTTGAATATATCAAAATGATGGTATAATTGTACTGTGTAATAAAGAGACAGAAATGGAAATATTCATATCAGTGCTGTTTGTCAGATTCAATCATTCACTATGTTCAGTATCTTAAAGTGAAACTTAGGACATAGGAAAGAAACAGGACTAAAATACAGCTTCATTTGGATAACTAGTTTGATTGGTCAATTTTTATGGAAGTTATACAGCTTTTTTTTTTTTTTTTGTAAAAATTTTTCACATATTGGCATATTTAAGGTGTGACTTAGAACTCTTATGGGCAAGCCAATGGTAATCAAATTTTCTAATTGTCCTTGTTATTTATAGAAGATAATTAAAATTTGGTGGTAATTATACCTTTAGTCTTCATGTAATATTGCATCAAAATTGCCAAAAAAAATAAATAAATAAAAAGACACTTTGTACACTACCACCAGAAAATATTGTTACTTATTACTTTTTTAACTTAAAGTCATAATAACTCTTCGTTTTGGCCAAAAATTGGATTTTCCTGGAGTAAGCGGCAATTTTCCTGTACTTACCAATGGTCAATGACCCCATTCCTGCATTCAAAGTCAGTCTAGGGTTTTTTTCCTAAAAGTTTGGTTTTTTGTTAAAATCTCTTAAGAGATTTTAACTGATGGAGCCCTCTGAGATTGCATAGTCACGCGATATCGAGCGAGGTTTTCTTGTGACTTACTTAAAATGGGGGAAAAGCAGACAACAACAACACTATATAACAATAATACAAGATTCATACGATATATTCGTCTTATTGCTCAAAATGCATTTATATCTACAATGTGTGCAGTTATGTCTCTTAAGAGATTTTAACTGACGGAGCCCTCTGAGATTGCATAGTCACGCGATATCGAGCGAGGTTTTCTTGTGACTTACTTAAAACGCAGGAAAAGCAGACAACAACAACACTATATAACAATAATACAAGATTCATACGATGTATTCGTCTTATTGCTCTAAATGCATTTATATCTACAATGTGTGCAGTTATGGGCGTTTCGTTATCCGACGCACTGTACAAAAACTCGGTACTTATGTCTGAGGATTGCATCATGCGTCTGCTATCTCTATATGCCGCCATATGTTATTTTGGTCTCGAATAAACGCGAGAATCCACGTGACACCTCAACGTCATTGGCAACGGATGCCTTGATGACCGGGAAGAAAGGCATCGAAAGCCCTATTGACAACCAAAGTTTTTAGTCTTACTACAATAACAGTTGCTTTAGTGGTGAAATGCAATATAATACATTTCCATGCGTTGTTTGCAATGTATTTCTTGCGGAATTTTGAATCTCAAAGGAAGAGTTATTATTGCTTTAAAAGAATGACATACAGTTCAAATAAAGAAAACCTGCTCTACTGGATTAGCATTTTTTATTGAATTTATGCAATTTTTTTTTTTTTTTTTTTTTTTTTTGTGTGTGTGTGTTATAACATACCTTTCCCTTTACCAATTGTAACATACCTTTCCCAATGTTTAAGCCCATTCAAGTGTCATGTGAATATCACAGTAGTTGATAAAGAAACCAAGCGTGGGAAATGACCTGTGGTCACAGCACTTCTCTGCATACCAAGTAAATATGGCAGAAGCTGCAAAGGCCCCGAATAGAAAATGCAGACCTGCTGTACCAACGGTGTCAGAAAAGAAAAAAAAAAAAAACGTAAGATGCACATTTATCCAAAAGCAGGATATATATTGGTAGGGCTATCTAGCAATGGAGAGATCTGAAATTGAGCCTGAACATGACTAGGGATGAGGGAATGGCTGTGGCCCTCATGGTTAATGGTAGGTAAGTGCCCAACCGAATACTGTCTAATACCATACCTTTGTTTTAGACAGTCCGAAAATATTCCCTTGATTAAAATGCAATAAAATTAACTATTTAATTCTTGTCTTAATAATTTTGTGGATTTGCCTCATTAATGATGTTTATGCCCCAGACTTCAGTATGTGAAGTATGTATGACTATTATTAATTTTTAGTAAAATGTTGGCATATGGATTGCTGTAGCAAGGAACAAATATCGTTCGTGTATATATGGGGAAGTACTATGCTTGCCAGCATAAGAAAATGCCAGAATATACAGACTATCAGCTTACTGTACATAGAAGACAGGGCTGACATCAGAAAACAATACATGTAGTTGTAGATACAGTACATGTATTTCTGCACAGTGGCTTAATTGTAATATATTAAAATTATTATATAGCCATTATCTGTAGGTGTTGTCTATGTACATGTTTTAGAATGTTGTACACAGACACACACACACAAAAAATACCACTGTTTCTAATAGTTTCCTTATTTTTTTATTTATTTATATTATTTTCTTAATGTATGTCTTTATTCCCGAACGATCCATGACTTGCGTGGTCTGAAAGTTGTTCAAAGTCAATACTTAATTCAACTGGGAAATGTAATAGTAATAATAATGATAATGATAATTATATTTTGTATTTAATACAAATTATAAGGATATTGATAATAATTACTATTATCATACGTGTACGCTGGCGGTACTCATGGCTTTAGTCCCGACCCGTCTCTTACAGCTCCGCTGGCTCCGCAGGATGGCGTGGGATACAAGTCACCGTTACCGCTTCTCCTCCTAGACCGCAAAGACCTGTGTCCCCATCTCTTGGATTTAGGTCACATATAATCTCAACTTGAACCCCCTGGTTTTTTTGTCTCAGTCGGTGCATTGGCCTGGGCAAACGCACCCTTGTCAAAATTTTTGAAAATTCAATGCTAAATATCTCCCAAACTGAAGGAATTATGGGAAAAATTTCTATAAAGAAGCTTGACCAAAAGTCATATGTGGAGATTCCAAATATGCCCTTGGATTTGACTTTTGACCTTTATTTCAAGGTCAAACAGGCCAAAATTTTCTAAAAATGGGAATTTTCTGCAAAAAAATATTTGTTTGTGCCAATTTTCAGAAACTACACAGACCTAAGCTCTCATATCATAGTGAGGGGTTACAATTAGGGACTCCTTTCATCTTTGGGAGTTTGGGGTCAATCGGGGCATTTTCACGGAAGAAGCAGCCATTAGATGCTGAAACTGAAAAAACTTTATTCTGGAACCATAAATGCTAGAGACGTCTTGTTTGTTGCATTTTGTAGAGTTTGTCAATGCCAATACTGGCAGTGGTGTCCGTTTTTTTGTTTTCAATACGGTTTAGGAGTTGCGCTATATCAAAAAGTACAACATTGCAAGACTTAGGTTTCGCTCACATGGAATGTCTATTTTCTAAAAGTCTATTTTCTATTCGCGGTATCTTATGATCATAGTCTGTGCCCTGAATATCCCGCGGCGTAATTACTGGCAGCGCGAGCCAGTTACTTAAAGTAACTTATAGTAACTGGCTCCCGCTGCCAGTAATTACGCCGCGGGATATTCAGGGCACATACCGTGATCATAAGACATACCGCGAATAGAAAATAGAATTTAGAAAATAGACATTGCATGTGAATGCAGCCTTAGTGGTGAAAATAAGATGTGAAATACTCCAAAATTAGCAGAGATACATCCATAGTTACTTTTGAACTTGAATAGGAAGCCATATACTGGCTATCTAACTGTGACCTTGAAATTGACCTTTGACCTACTTTTCACCATGAACTGAACTTTGCAAATTTTGGTTGTAATATATATATATTATATATAAATATATAGGTTGTAATCATATATCTCGAAAACTGACAAAGATACGCCCATAGTTACTGTTGAACTTGAATAAGAAGTCTTATACGGGCAATCTTACTGTGACCTTGAAATTGACCTTTGACCTACTTTTCACCATGAACTGAACTTTGCAAATCTTCTAGCTCTTATATCTCGAAAACTGGCAGAGATATGAGCATAGTTACTATTTAACTTGAATAAGAACTCACATTTTGGCAATCTTACTGTGATCTTGAATTTGACCTTTGACCTACTTTTTCACCATGAACTGCACTTTGCATATTTTCTGCCCCTCATATCTTCAAATCTGGTAGAGATATGCCCAGTGTTTCTCCTGGGTTTTCTTTTTATTCAACATATATGTAACACATTTCATTGAAAACCCATATGTCTACTGTCTTGAAAATCACAGGAGTGATCAATATTACAAATATACAGCTTAATTCAAAAATAAGCTTGATCAGACTATTTTTACAGTTATGCTGTTTTTTCACTTCTTTTTGCATTTTTTTTGAGAACTCTTGTTTATTGCATTTTATAGAGCTTGTCAAGCTCAACACTGGTGGTGGTGACCCGATTTTTTGGTTTTCCATACGAATGCGCTTACTCCAGCTGGTGGTACTATAACAGGAAGTGGTATCGCCTCTCTGATCCTCTAGTTTTAGGTTTGAATCATCTGATGTACCATTCTGGTGCTGTGTTGAATGCTGCCACTCCGTCAACTTCTGGTGCTGTGTTTGATGCTCCCAATCCATCAACCTCTGGTGCTGTGTTGGATGCTGCCAACCCATCAACCTCTGGTGTTGTGTTGGATGCTGCCAACCNATGGAATGTCTATTTTCTAAAAGTCTATTTTCTATTCGCGGTATCTTATGATCATAGTCTGTGCCCTGAATATCCCGCGGCGTAATTACTGGCAGCGCGAGCCAGTTACTTAAAGTAACTTATAGTAACTGGCTCCCGCTGCCAGTAATTACGCCGCGGGATATTCAGGGCACATACCGTGATCATAAGACATACCGCGAATAGAAAATAGAATTTAGAAAATAGACATTGCATGTGAATGCAGCCTTAGTGGTGAAAATAAGATGTGAAATACTCCAAAATTAGCAGAGATACATCCATAGTTACTTTTGAACTTGAATAGGAAGCCATATACTGGCTATCTAACTGTGACCTTGAAATTGACCTTTGACCTACTTTTCACCATGAACTGAACTTTGCAAATTTTGGTTGTAATATATATATATTATATATAAATATATAGGTTGTAATCATATATCTCGAAAACTGACAAAGATACGCCCATAGTTACTGTTGAACTTGAATAAGAAGTCTTATACGGGCAATCTTACTGTGACCTTGAAATTGACCTTTGACCTACTTTTCACCATGAACTGAACTTTGCAAATCTTCTAGCTCTTATATCTCGAAAACTGGCAGAGATATGACCATAGTTACTATTTAACTTGAATAAGAACTCACATTTTGGCAATCTTACTGTGATCTTGAATTTGACCTTTGACCTACTTTTTCACCATGAACTGCACTTTGCATATTTTCTGCCCCTCATATCTTCAAATCTGGTAGAGATATGCCCAGTGTTTCTCCTGGGTTTTCTTTTTATTCAACATATATGTAACACATTTCATTGAAAACCCATATGTCTACTGTCTTGAAAATCACAGGAGTGATCAATATTACAAATATACAGCTTAATTCAAAAATAAGCTTGATCAGACTATTTTTACAGTTATGCTGTTTTTTCACTTCTTTTTGCATTTTTTTGAGAACTCTTGTTTATTGCATTTTATAGAGCTTGTCAAGCTCAACATTGGTGGTGGTGACCCGATTTTTTGGTTTTCCATACGAATGCGCTTACTCCAGCTGGTGGTACTATAACAGGAAGTGGTATCGCCTCTCTGATCCTCTAGTTTTAGGTTTGAATCATCTGATGTACCATTCTGGTGCTGTGTTGAATGCTGCCACTCCGTCAACTTCTGGTGCTGTGTTTGATGCTCCCAATCCATCAACCTCTGGTGCTGTGTTGGATGCTGCCAACCCATCAACCTCTGGTGTTGTGTTGGATGCTGCCAACCAATCAACCTCTGATGTTAGAAAATTAAATTTGTGTGAGTTGAATGTACAGCAAACTTTTAATTTTATCGGGGTATGCTATTTTAGAGTAAAAACCTTATCATTTGATTATTTAATATGTACCAATACAAGATACATGAACATGCACTGCCATTGACAATTACACAAACAAAATACTTGAATACACATTCTAATTTATATCCATCAATTAGAATTAATCAATGCTTATATAAAATTTTAATCATGTATAAGTGGCAAGTGCACAATGATAAATAATACACTATTGTGAGCTATAGTGGGTATTTATGCCGCAGGCCAGAGAAAAATCCAGCCAAATTAGTCCAACAAACAAATCAATTACATTATGTAAAGCTAGTTTTAAATTGTATTGTTGTAACAAACTATGGTGTTTATCTCACTCAAAGTAAGAGAATAAGTCAAGAGCAATATAAGTTAAACAACATCTAATAGAAAAATGTCTAATCATCCCTTTAAACTCATTCACTAAATCACAACTTTTGTAATGCTATGCCTGCTTTGAAAAAAGATTATTATCAGTCATGAAATCTAGGGTTGTGGTAAATTAAACATGGCTCCTACTAGTATAATCTTTACTTTGCTAGTTAATTTTCACAAAAAGATAAAAACACAGTATATAATGTATTTTTACTATTTTTATGATGATATTCACTAACTTCATATTTCTTCTATTATATTGAAAGTCGACCTTATCTAGTCAGATTTTAATCTTGCTTAAAGTCAGATTTTACTTGAGCTTGGCTGTTTTAAAAAGTGAAATTTCAATCCTGCCTAATATATATAATGTAATGTAAAAGTAAGTGAACATAAAGGGTGGGAAACGAGGACAAATTAATATTTTTAAAGAAACATTTTATGAAAAATCATGCTCAATCACACTTAAAGCGTAAGGTTTAACAGTCAACTGATGTTAGAGAATGCCCTACTCCACCAACCACAGATTCAACAAGTGTGAATTTCTTTTGTTAGCCTGGCACCTATTATTAGGTCACTATTCCTGTAGCTATTGTTACACCAATTCCAACAACCACCTATTTGGTGTTATCAGATGTGTGGTATCCTGTCGTAAGTCTTTGTTTATATGAGACAAGCAGCAAATGAGTGAAGGCTGTATACTAAATTCAGGAGCATAGTGGAAGAGTACAGAGTATAGAAAAATTGGATTGAGGAAGGTATGTATTACAGTAATTCATTGGATCATTTTGGCATCTAATCAAATTGAAAATGAGAAAATTGATCTAATTTGTAGTGTACATTGTAAACATTATATCTATATTACATTAAATAAGTTATAATTTATAATTTCCCTTTTAGCCAACAAAGAAACGATGATACAGAATGCAATCACTGTTTAGTCTCTTCATTTCTTATTAAACTATGATCAATTGCTCGCCAAAATGTTTCTTCAAATGCAGTTAAATCTCAAAAAAAATTTAAAAAAAAAACATTTACATTTCATTTAATTTTTGGTTTGTGGTTTATTGAATATTATCTATATAATTTTATCTGTCTCTTACTGTGTTACTTGAACTAATGGATATTTGTTAATTGTTTATTTCAGGTGATCTTAGAGAGTAGACAACATACAGAACCTGGCATGACAAGACTGGAAGGGACACTCTGCTGTGAATATCTATAGTTGGTGGCTCATCGAAACTCTCACAAAGTGTACCAAAAAGTCAAGTACCTTTGTGATAAAGAAGTTACTAGAGGTTTTTTTCAGCCCACAAGAACTGTCAGCAACAGTTTCTTTTGTGAGGGATTCTTTAGTTGAAAGAGATGTGCAGAGTGAGTTTTAAAAGAGAACAACACTAACTGCAAGTTGATTATATCATTAAACAATACTTTAAATTTTGTTGAGAATAAGTGAATAAGTGAATGCAGCCATAAACCATAAGATTTCAACATAACATAGATGCGTGAAGAATGTATATAAAGAATTCTTCAAAGCAGTTTTAGCACTTCATATTTTTTTTAATATCCAAGACATTTTTTCTGCTTACCTTTCTCCCTTTTCTTCATATGAACAATAAACACTTGAACTTGATTTTAGGACTTATTAAACAGTAATGTGTATATTGATGTTTTTTGTCCTCCACATGGATGTTTAAGATTTGGATGTTAAGCATTGTGCACAGTGTGGTGAATTTGTAGGACTTAATGGTATACTCTTTTTTTAAGATGAACGGAGCAGGACAGGATGAGTAAAGAAGAGAAATGTGGCAGAAAGATGTAAAGAAGAGAAATATGGACATGGCTTGATTTTGATGATTTTGTTCGATTTTTTAATTTGATTAATAAAGCACAATATATGACTATAATTTCTTGTTTGTTGTTGATAAACAGATTTAACAATATTTCTGTTGGCACATGTCTTTAAATGTAACTCAGAACCTGTCTTTGTAGAATTAATATAAACTGATTGAAAAACAAGTGAATAAAATTTAAATTGTGTTATATAATATTTTAATTAGTGTGCAGGAAGTGTGCAAGAAGGTATGCAAAAAGTACGCAGGAGATGTGCAAGAAGTGCACAAGAGGTGTGCAAAAAGTACGCAGGAGGTGTGCAAGAAGTACGCAGCAGGTGTGCAAGATGTGCGTGGGAGGTGTGCAAAAAGTACGCAGAAGGTATGCAAGAAGTACGCAGGAGGTATGCAAGAAGTGTGCTGGTTGTGGTGTTGGGGGTGTGCAGGAAGTGTGCATCAGATATGCAAGGAGTGTGCGGGAGGTGCGTATTTTACCATGCAAATGAGGCATGCTGCGCATCCGCAGAAACCCTTACTGTGAATCTGCTGCGCATCCGCAGAAACAGTGTGCGGGAAGCATAAAATTTTGCTAAGGGCATTGTTAGTAATACAGAAATGAAAGCACTGTATTAGGGCCAGTAAAATAAAGTCCATGTATCCTTAATATTTTACATCATTTATGTGTGCATATTTACACATGATTATAAATGGTTTTTACTTCTCCTTAGTTTTCTCATCCTTTAAATGTCTGTATAGATTAATTTAAATGACACATTATCCCAAAAGAACACGGTTATATTTTTAAAATCATGATTATCAAATGTCCAATTCATAGTAGTACAGCAGAATTAGAGGCATATCAACAACATATCCTAATGTACTGCTCCAAGATGTTTGCTTATACTCCTCCTGTGTGCCTCCGAAAATTGAAGAGAAGTGTGTTCATGCTGTAATCTTTTTGTATCAAGTTTTATAATTAACATAGGTACATGTATGGTATGGTACTTATATTAATATTGCTTTCTGATGTCATGAAAATATTAATCGTTCAGTTTGCTTTTACTATTCAAAGATACCACAGAGTCTTCAACAAGAAGAGTTGGTGCTGGACTGTCTGTATTGTCAAAGTTAGAAAAAACTATAAAGACATTCAAGATATAGTGTCCAAAGCCCTAACCACGAGAATCAGTGGTACAACTGAAATGCCAAAGACCATAGCAGCAGCTGATGACCCTTGTACTAAAGGACCTCCACCCACACATTAACTAGTGCAAGGAAAGAAGTCCAGATTTCAAAATTAGTTATCGGTGGGGGGAAGGATGTAACAGTTACAACACAAGGCCAGTGATTAGGGGCAATTGACCTCGATTTTCATTCCAGGTGAAATGACCCTAGTCATTTACTCCCTTATGATGGTGACTGACAGTCAGAAAAATATTGGAGGTAATACCCACATATTTTACAAGCTCTTGATAAAAAGAAAAACAATAATTTGAATAAAAGACCAAAGCTTTAAAACAAGGCTTATAAGACAATTTGGAGCAGTATTTTACATGAAATTTAAAGGACTATGCTTTATAAAGGAGGATTTAAAACGCTCCGTTTTCATTCTTGGATTTTCTTTCTTGGATTTTTTTCTTTAAACAGATGGTGTAACATTAATTAGTCTTACATTAACTGTGACTTTGGCAAATTTACCACAATATGATCTTTGAAAATAAAATCTTTTTCTATTGAATATATGTCTTACTTCTATCTTTAATATACAGTTCTTTTGTCATATTTGTTTAAACAAAAAACAAAAAAAAAAACAGACTGCAAAAGGACAGACTGCAAAATCTTCTGAACAAACTAGAACAGTACTGTCAAAAGTGGAAGTCACACATAAATACAAAGAAACAAAAATAATGGTGTTTAGCAAGAAGGGCAAACTTGACCATCAAACAAAATTTCACATAAATGATGAACCCATAGAAGAAGTAAAACAATACCCATATTTGGGAATTGTTTTCTCCAACACTGGCTCATTAAAGGAAGCAATTGAAAATTTGAAGAAAAAGGCACTTAAAGCCCTGTTTTCCCTCAAAGGAGCACTTGCCTCTCAAAACATTTCCAAACCACTTTTGTGCATGAGCTTATTTGACAAACTCATCAAACCAATTTTGCTTTATGGTTGTGAGGTCTGGTCACAGGAAATACTTAAACAGAATAACATGTCTCTGAAAAAGATTAATAAAATGCTGTTCGAACAGGTACACTTAAAGTTTTGCAAATGGATTCTAGGTCTAAGAAAGCAGGCTAGCAATACCATGTCTAGAGCCGAGCTCGGCAGATACCCTATTTTTCTAACTATAGCCAAACTTGTCCAAAGATATAGTCTTAGACTGGAACAACTACCAGATAATAGAATTGTGAAGCAAGTGTACAATCTTGAGCAAGATACAAAGGGAAACACCTGGACAGAATCCATCCAATCTTTTCACTATTGTTGGAGTTTCTCCGAAGATAGCAACCCACCAAAGAAAATACATCAAATAGAAAACCTAGTAGAAAAATTGAACTTAAAAATCAAAAACTCTTTTGGCAGGAATTAAATAGCTGGACCTCAAACAAATTAAGGACATACAAAACAATTAAAAAATCTTATGAATGTGAAATTACATCAAAATGAGTGTCTCCTCCTTAGATATCAAAACACTGGCAAAAATTAGACTAAGTGACCACGACTTGGCAATAGAAAGGGGTTGATACACAAACCCTAAAACTCCTCTTGATGAGAGAAAATGTATAAAGCTTGCAACTGTGTAGAGGACGAAAAACACTACCTCATATTCCATGAGGAATACAACACAAGATACACTGTTGAAAGGCAACGAATGCATGATGAGGTATTGAAAATCAGTGTGGTGGGTCTAGATGACAGTGAACAGATATTGTCAATTCTCCTTAATCCACCCTGTGAAAAAAGCCTCAAAGTAATAGCAGAATTTATAAAAACTGCTGTTAAAATACATAGTTCACCTACAATTTAGTACATCACAGCCACTAATTGTTGATAATGCTGTGAATAGCTTAACTAATTAATTAATCTTATAGCATAAAGTGCATTAACTTATGTGTAATTTAAGCATAATATATATGTAAACATATATAAATGTATATCCTTTATATATTGTGCAAATAATGTAGTCTAGTGAGCCTGCAAATGTATTCATACCATTTAGTGCTCAATAAACTTATTTTTATTATTATAAACTTATTATAATCCAGGAAACACACCTGAAAACAGAAAATACACCATCAATAAAAATATATATTAATAGACACAAATACAGTAGTTACAACACATAAATAATATAGTGATCATTATTCTATAATAATAAACACATACAGCAACAATAAAGACATAGACAGTGATCAAAATACATAGAGACACATTCAATGTCACAACAGACAATGCACAGGCATCAGAATGTATATGAAATTTTGTCTATATATATTATATCAAGATTTTTTCCTAAGCGCATCCCCCTCCCCCATTAACCCTTGTCACTTTGAACATATCAAATACTAATTTGGATCTCAATGACCCATTTACAAATAATAATTTCTCAGGTACAACTTATAGCAGCAATGCATGGTCACAATGGGATTGAAGAGAATCACCAGTGCAGCAATATCTTTGTTGCAGTGACCTTTGCTGATCCTAGCTGTGCAGTTGTAGAATGAGATGGTGAACAAATGAATTCAACTGGCCTCAGTGTGATGAAAATTAATCCAGGAAACACACCTTCATTTCTACTGAAAACAGCTAGATAAGAAATCAACAATAAGAATATATATATATATTAAAAGTAAAATTGTTCTTCCTGTACGAGTATATATTATATATAATAAAAAGAAAAAAAACACAGCAGCTATTTTGCCCTGAACAACAGACACAACACAATATCTCCCTTTTAACTCGTGTCATCCCAGACACATTAAGCACAACATACCATACAATCAATGCACAATTGTCTACAATGAAACCACATTAAAACAAAGGCTTAAAGAACTGGAAGGATTCCTATTAAGGAGACAATACCCAAGACAACTGATACAAACTGGGATTAAAAAGGCAAAACAGATACAGATGAATGACCTGAGGACCACCAAAGACAAAATTAAAAAGGAATTAAGCCATACCGTACATATCAACATATAATCCAAAAAATCTGGAAGTACACAATGTCATAACTGGAAACTTACCTTTGGTAAAACAAGATGACAAAATGAATGAGATACTAACTGAAATGCAGATTATAAAGAGTAAGAGACAAAGTCCATCACTCAAGCAAATTTTAACAAAAGCAAAATTTGATAACAATTCCAGGACAAATGTGGAAACCTCAACAATACGAGTACAGAGATGTGAGGTACCCAGGTGCGGCACCTGTCCAATAATTAAAGAGGGGAGCCATCTAACATTTAAAAATGGACTTACATTTACAATTAAACACCCATTCACCTGCACTAGCTCAAATTTAAAGGGATAATAACTCTTCGTATGAGATCTATATTTCACAATGAAAACCTTGTGAATAACTCATAGAAATATAATATATATTGTTTTACCACAAAAAACAGCAGTTATAACTATTATTCTGATATCTGAACTTGTCTCTAGACCACGTGACCTCCATTGATGTCTATACTCTGTTAAAATCTCTTAAGAGATTTTAACAAAAACCAAACTTTTTAGAAAAAAACCAGGGACTAACTTTGAATGTAAAAATGGATTCATTAACCATTGGTAAGTATGGGAAAATTGATGTTTACTCCAGGAAAATTCATTTTTTGGCCGAAACAAAGAGTTATTATTGCTTTAATTTATGTATTAACTTGCAGTGGATGCGGTGAGAACTATATAGGACAAACTGGAGACACTCTCCGACATAGAATGACCATTCACAGACAACAAATAAGACATTCCAAATATCAGTGCACGTCTGTGAGTGGGCACATTAGGGAATGCTCTATGAACAAAAACAAGGACTTTACGGTATTC